GTTTCCTAGTTTTCCCAATTTACATTATGACTTGGTCGCTTTGTTAAATACTGTACATCGTTTAAAACCGTAATTCAAATAAGTATACTTTCTCCTTAAGATTGAATCTTATGTAAGAATTCTCGTCACCTCCAGGAATATTTGGAGTACTTTTTTTTTTAAATATTTTGAATCTTTCTCCCTGGCTCATGTTCTTCAATAATCAACAAAGGTATCTTGCGTAAAACCTTGTTTTCAAAGTGAAGCAATTGTGACTGACCTGTAACGTGAGCTAGTTGTTGACTGACCTTGGCAACGGTCTCAATCATTGAGTGAGAATAAAGTTTTCTTCGACGTTGACTCTCGGTGAAGACAGAGGTTTTTTCGCTTCGTAATTATGAGGGCATTCTGCTCATAAACTTCAATATATCCAATTAAACTTTGCTTTTTTGAGAATGTGACAACTGTGGTTTTCAAAAGAGCAAAAAAAAAAAAAAGGAAGTACTTGAAATATTGCATCAATACCAATTTTGAGCACTATAAAGCATATGTTGTTTGTCTGGTGCACTAAATGGATTACGAACGCCTTGCGCAACGATTTTTGATAATGACATTGCACGAGAAAAATTAAGAGCATTCACAGCATATTGTCGATGCAAAGAAAGTTAAATGGAAAAATGATCGATTTTACCATAACATATCATCATGTGATGGGCAAGATAAAAGTATACGATTGTTTCAAAAAGTAACATGAATGAAATGAATGAAGAACTGAACATAAGACGTTTCTTTTCGAAGTTAAACCCTTTGACTAAATTGCGTAACATTATTTAATGAAGAAACCCTTATTGGTAATGGTATCAAAAGTAATGACAATAATGAAAAATAATAATTATAATAGTGATTCTAATAAAATATTATAGTAATGATGATGTAAATGACGTTAATAACATCTTCTCATTTCGACATCGACGAAAGATTTTAGATGCCTGCGTCGAAGGCTGTTACATAACGCTGGCAAAGAAAGCTCATCCCCAGGCCACTAACAACAATTTTCTTGAGTAGAATTTCCCTGAGTACAATTGCGATGTCCACAGAACTTTCCATGACGACCCCTTATGGCATTATGACTTCATTAGTATCATTTCATATTCTTCATGTTCAAAATCCTGCATGTCAGTTTTTGATACTAGGTTTATAAAGGTAATAACTTTCGTATTTTTTTTCAATTCTCTTTGTCTCATGTTTGTGAGCAAGCCGAGTTATTAACATGAAGAGCTGACCAAACACATTGGAAAGAACTTGTTTGTGATACCTCAAGTGGTTAAAATCAGATTGATTCAAACCAGCAGAAGTTCTTTTCGCGTTTTTAACGGTCTCCGCGGCACAATATCTATATTCTTACTAACGTTGGCTCGCATAAATATTTTCTGATCCGCCGTTGAGAAAATAGATTTTGTATGATATCTGCATTGTTTTCATCTTAAACTTTACCTTCGGATACCTATTAATTAAATCTTTGGAAAATGTTTCAAGTCACCAAACATAAGTCAAATTCCAGTTGGCATGCCCAATGTGAAAATTACGGCACAAATCCCTTTAACTATAACCATTCTCCGAACTACTTTTACATTCTATGTTGCTTCTTACCACACTGATTTCGTTCTGTCCATCAACGGAATTAAGAAGCTGTACGCATACATATAAAAAATACTGTAGTCAAGATACTCTCGTGTTTCAGAGTGAAACTAAGGGCGTACCGTAAAGCGCTATAGGTGAATTGTCTATAACTGTTTGCAAATGAAATGAACGGTTTACCTTCATTGAAATCGTCTATATAAATGTTAGTTTTGCAAAAAATAATTGGGAAGTTCACATCATTATATGGTCTCTTGATGAACCTTAAAAATGATTTTTTGGAAGTTTAAGTATTTTGCGGCTATTTTGTTTCAGGAACGTTGCAAGTGAAGATTTTCAAGGAACCCCATAAATTTCTATCTTATAAGAAAGTTTCAAAAGACAGGGGCGTGAGAGGAGCGCAAATTTTTAGATATTCTTAGGCGTTTGAATTGCACATACACCTGAGTCATTAGGGTGATTTGATAAATTCAATTTGAGATTTAGAGTACTTATGAAGGAGGAGGGGTGGGAGGGGGGCGACCTCATTCTCTCATTTTCATCGATAACTGAACAATGCCTTCTTTGAGAATATTGCCACAACTTTTCAGGTTTTTCTAAAACTGCGAAACTACATTGTTGCATATGTTGTCAACTTTGTTTTAGCTCCCTCGACGAACTCGTCAAGCTCACGATCATCAAGGCAGGCAAAGCGCAGAACAGCCTACGAGCAGCCGTACCCTCTCCTCCGTTACACCGTGGCGGGGGGAGGGTACGGCTACACGTACGCTAAGCTAAGGGGGGAGGGGGGGGGAAGATAGCAAAACCCTAAATCAAAACTTGGCAAATTGTTCTCCATTTCTAAAGTTCGTTATGTTAACTTGAAATTTTTACTCGAGTATCGCAAAAGCTTTAAGTTTGAAATGTTTTCAAATTGTTCCGACAAACACAAAAAGCGTGACGTCACAACTGGTTGACATACGCTCTTCTGAATTCACCGGTTGAACAATGAGAGCACGCTTACTATCTCAATTATTCCATAATTGAGATAGTAAGCGAAACAGGCTTGTAGGGATGAAAGTATAGTCTCTGTTCTTTTCCCTATCTCATTATAAATATATTTGTGTGTGTGTGTGTATTGAGACAAGGAAAAAACAAAGAGACTATGCTTTCATCCCTAAATGCCTGTTTCGCGATTACTCACTCATCAGGGTGAAATCCCTAATGGGTAAGTAATCACGAAACAGGCTAGTAGGAATGAAAGTGTAGTCTCTTTGTTTTTTCCCTGTCTCAATACATATCGCGCTCTACTTCTACGTATCTGGCATTGTACTACGGAAAAATCGAAACACAGACTTCCTATGTATGTGTATATATGTATATGTAATGAACTCGTCTTCGTTACTGTTTTCTTATATTGTAAATCCTGAACTTAAGAAAAAGGAAATAAAATATAACTATAACAATAATGATTATCATTATTATTATTATTGTTATGAAACTATCATTATCTTACTTTTTTTCTAGTTTCTGAGGCAAATGGATTTGCCATCTTGTTATCTCTTTGATTAATATTCTGTGCGTCAGGCGGCTTTGTGCTTTGCTTAGTTTATACTGCGGTGAGGCGGTCTCACACGTTCGTATCAAACCTTAACGAAGAAGGTATTTTGATTCATATTTTCCCGATTTTTTTCGGTGCGTTTTCCTTGATTGGCAGTTTTTTTTCTTAAGCTTTTAATTGCAAGAGGGACAGCTATTTCGCATAAGTTGATTAACTTTGCCGTACTACCCGCGATACGGATAACGGACTACCACGTTTTCATCTAATGTAAATGGAATGTAAATGGAATGTTTCAATGTCCATCTTAATTTGTTTTTTTTTTTAACCACCTAATATGTAAATAAATTTCGACGTATCAATCTTTCATCATTTCGCATTTCACAAATAATGGGTTCGATGAAGCTTTGAGAGCGTTTTTCGTATTCACAATTATCTCGCCAATATGCAGAAAACCATGAACCAATCAATTTGGATTAGATATACTCAAAAAAATATGATATAAATTTGTTTAAATAACCATGTTTTTTTTTGTGATTTGTGGGATATTTCTCAGTTGTTTTAATTTATTCTACTGTAACATTCTACTGAAATATTGCTGAATAGAGATTTGATAAACACAATTCAAAACCATTGAAAACAAATTTTCTATGGATAAATATTGTGCAAGGTCTTTTTAATCTTTCATTTTCTTAAATCCTTTGTGTTGTTGCGGTCAGGCAAAGTGTCAAAATTTCATGGTATGAAAATCGTAGTCTTATTTGCCCAATATTAATTCTTTCAAGTTTTTCTTTTGAACATCATTGATTTATAAATATACTCCCACGCACCCTGAATTGGCTTAGTAAATCCGGTCGAATATTTCTCTGACTCCTCGTATTTTCCTCGCACTAACTACGGTATAAAAGCTTTCAGAAAAATGTTTCTTTTGATCAAAGTTTTAAAGATTTCAATAGTATCGATTTGATAATTTAATCTTGTGTAAAAGATCGTCGCTTCCTCACGCGAATCACAAACCAGTTACCTAGACCATACATTTCCTTAAAATTCTCCATTGCCAATTCGAAATTCACTCAGATACATTGAGCTTGTTAGAATATATATTCGGATATGGTAAACTAAAAACAAATCTTAATTCATTAACCCTACAGGAAACTGTTAAGGAAAACATCTCTTTCTTATACTATAAAAAACAATTATCTTGTTGAACTACTATCTTGCATAAACCTCCGAACAAAAACACTATTTGCGTAAACGTTTAAACTCAAATTACCCTGGTGGTACCAAATATATAAGAAAAAAAAAATGAAAATTTGGAAATAGTGGAGAATCAGTACACAATGCATAACAGCATTTATATACATTTTCCTTCTAAAATTATTTTTATGTTGAATGATAGAGGAGCAAGTGTAGAAAGCTGTCCTGTTTTGATGAGAATTGCTTAATGTGTTTCCTCTTCCTAATTTATTTTTTGTCAAGGGGAGTTTGATATTTTGATCTCCCAGTTGGCTTCGAAATCAGTATGTATATTGAAAAAGAGGCAAAGAAAAAAGAAAAACGCCTGATATTAATCGTCATCCGAAAACGTGTTCTTAAATAAATTCAAATGCTACGAAATGATTTACCGTTTCTAGAAGTTTTAAAATTACTCGTGGATTTGCAGTAGAAAGCTACAGATAATGTCTGACATAAAAGACAAAATTTTGCGAGGAAAGGAACTATTATCTAAAAAATAATATAAAGTGAGTTCTTGCAACACTAGCAATGCCAAGTTGATGGAACATGAGAATCTACCGCTGTGGATCACACATGTTTAGTTCACCTTGATCTGGAAAAAGGGACTTACCTTTTACATTTGATTTGCTGTCCTTGATGCGCGTACTCTTGTTTGATAGAAACTCTGATTTTTCTTGAAAAGCCTCCCGATTTCTCAAAGAAAAGTCTTCATGGCGTAAACGTCCTTGTTGTATGATACTTGGTACGAATAATGCGCCCTTACCTACGAGGTGTTGAATAAAACATTCCATAATGAAGTCAGCGTGAACTGTGACGCGATTGGTCAGCCAGGCCAGGTGCTGAAACCGCTAAATTGGAGAAAGAAATTAATACGAAAAGTTAGCACAATTGAATTATTTTAATTGTCACCAGCGTTCAAAAACTGATTCCTACAACGAGAGTAATCCGATTCGTTTGATATGAGGTACGCATTCATTTTTTTTACAAGGCGTCTACTTAAAGGGCTCATTTCGTAAGGATGGTTCAAACTGTGGGACAATATCGCATTTTGATCATGTCGCATTTCTCATTAATTTATCCATACATTGACTAACAGACACCTGGGGAGAATGATTAAATTGATCTTTAAATTACTCATATCTCTTTGCTATTTTAACCTATATGTGAACTTAATTTAAAATAAGCTTGCGATGAATATGTATTGCACTCAGAAAGGGATGCATTGGAAAAAAGAGATTTGCAAAATAAAAGGGTTTTTCAGATTAATACCGTTGGGTATGCCCTTTGTAGTTTCTAATTTACGTAAATGGCTTACTCTTAGAAGAAATTAATGGTGTCAAATTTGATTGCAGGATAGATAACAGACACCACAACAGCAAATTCGTGGTTTGCGGTTTACGGGAACTATGCAAAAGCAACACATTTATAAATTCAAAGACACAATGCGGGAATCTTTAATATTAAACTACTCTCTCTTGATGATAACTTTTTTCATCCTAGAAAGAAGGCAAAACTTCAAATAAAAAGATCACAGGTATACTCCTCTTTAAATGAAATTCTTACCGGAAGGTGCTAAATAAAAAGAGAAATAAATAAATGAAGAATTCTAACAAAGTAATCGATAAAAAGCGATAAAACTATTTGCTAATTTTAGTGCTTTCTTGGTGATTTTAGCGAATGACTGCAGGGAAATAATGTGAAATATTGATTTTATCAAAGATCTTTCCAGATCTTTTAGAAAATGCTTATATAGCCCTCGGAATAAAGTCTTTTTAAAAGGGGTTTCCCAGATATTGATAAGATATTACGAATACAGGCTTTGTCGGCGAGACAAGTCAGTGATGTGTGGGAAAATCACAAAGTGCATTAAAGAAAGATTTCAAACAGTTGTCAGTGCGATTTCTAGCCAGTTTGGAGCCTCTGTCTACGTGTACCGCTGAGTTGCAAAGTATAACTCTTTGCGAGGTTTTATATCTTTGATTCAAAGGTACATATGGTGCGTTGTTTGAATCGGAAGGTGATGTTAAACTGACTGGGAACCCTAGACAGTTAGATTTATGACATTGTTGTATATAGCAGATAAAATCAGTTTATCTTGAAACTCTAGGTTTTAATTTTGTCCTTGTAGCTATGAATGATCTTCAATAATTATATTCTTGAATACAATGGCCCGTCTGTTTCCAAAGGGTCACGCACGTCAGTCACCGTACTTTTGCTCAGTCACTGAATACTTCCAGGGTTTTTTTTTTTTCGAGAACAATCTATGTTCATTTTTTAAAATGCTATTCGCCAGAAGTCACCTGTTCTGAACATTCCTCTCGGTTCATTTTTGCCGCCTGTTAACAATATTAAGGAAGTAATATTCAACAGAGAACCCGAATGTGCCGCTTCAGGTGACAAGCAAGCACTCTTCTTCGATAAAGAACCAACACTTGCTATTAGTAATTAATTCAATGCTAGCGCAGATTTATAACATTGCTAAGGGCCTGATATGTAAGCAGTGCCTAACCGTTCATGCCATTGGTCGTTAGATTAAATAGATATTCAATGTCCGCTCATATGAGTTATGCTTTTACAACGAGACAGATTAGATAATCTGATTGTATCTAAATAGGCACATTTTGCTAATAGCTGCAATGAAGAAAGTAAAACAATGATCACATGATTTGCTATCTTGGAAAGCATCTTTAATTTTCAGATCAAGCCTTTGCGACAAATCAGTCAATGAAAAGCCCAAGCGAATGGCCATGGAAAGCGATTTAATGAACTTATATTGGCTGATTATTTTCACTGACTTATCAGTTTTTAAAACACATTGTGGTCCATTCGCCGTGGCCTTACAAATTGTGTCGGCAGCCATTTATGAAGTTTTCAATAAAGTTTTATTTTACGAACGAGCTATAAATGGAAATAAATTGTTCATTTGTTCACGGAATGTTTCGGTGTTTCCCAGTCTGGCATATCTTTGCCCATGTCAGATTTTTTTCTTCTTCCTGATTTGACCAGCTGCTGAAGAATATAGGTTTAGGCAGAGATACTTCTCGATGCTTTCAGAAAATTAAACACGCCTTCTGCGTAAGACCGGCTTGGGATATCGTGAAACTTTGTGAATAAACCGTAATCGACGAATTATGAAGGCTTTTTCAGCGACAGGCACTCAAGTATGAGGTGTTTAGTCCGATTTGGTTATTGATAAAAGAGCTATTTGGCGTTAGAAATATATTGCTTATTAAAGTCTGTGTAAGATTAATGCTCGGACAATGGCACGGTTAATGTAATCCAAGAGTCCTCAGCAAAAAAATCCTTGGATGGTACTTTGAAGCTTACGAGTTACGTTTCGGTTGCAACCTTAATTTCATGCCATCACAGCTCAATTATTTCAGTTAAAATTTCTTGAATATCACAACAACTTACCTGACCACGCAAGCTGAATGTTACCGCGACGCTCTGCTATCAGGTTGTGCACCGTTGCTAACTGATGAACCGTCAATGCAAAGAGGCCAGAGTAATTAAACGAAAAATTGTTAAAAAGAAAAATATATGAGATGCCTACAGCTCGAAGTATTGAAATAAAATAGTCGAAATGTAAACAGTCTTCAGCCAAACAATGATTATGTGAAATAAATTCATAATGGACTAAAAAAATGTTATTAAGTCTTTGTCTTTAGCCTTTGTCTTGTATATAAGGAAATTAACCGAACATCAATTACAATAGACAATACGTCTTCCGCATTCTACACAAAACGGGTTGCTATTGCTCGTGACTAAGGCACGAACATTGAACTGAAAACAGCGCGCGGCCTCAAATCCTCACTGCTGATGGTGTCCATCCAATAAAATTTATAACCTAGTCTCTTTGTCCTTTTTTTTTCTTCATTTTCCATTTCACACGGAAAAATTGTGTCCTCCAAAAGAATTTTGCAACAAGAGTTCACTAAACTCATAGCGAGACTTAAAATCTGCAAGATCTCGCAATTAGAACTGTTTGTTCCCGTTCCCGTTTGTCTGCGCCGTAAATTTACAGGTAAATGTACTGCACATAGCTATTTTTAAGAAACTGAAAGCTCTCGTAGCGCAGTAACGAGATAGAATTAAGGGCTCTTAAGAGAATATGGATCGATTTATTAGCGGGATCATCAACCTTGGTTGTAAAAATAGTTTTTATTCTTTCACTACCCCATATATGGTGACTGTTTTCTGTTACATTCTGGCTGATAATCCGCCAAGCAAAACAAATCCTAACCAAACGCAACTACTCAATAAAGGGAAATTGTATTTTATTATTCATTTGTATATTTCCCTACTTTTATTTCTAGTTCTTCAGTGGAGACCATCCATGTCACGTTACGGTTTCTAAAGAATTGTCTTTGAGCTTTTACTATTGTAATAACGAGTGTTGGCTTTCAATTTTTAACCCACATGGTGAGTAGTCAGTCATTATGTATTACAAACAATACATAACCATTCAGCCGGTCATAGCTGTCTATGGTATCAAATTTTCGGGTTGCCTTAAATAAACTCGTTAGTCTTATGTACCGTCCTTAGTGAAACTTGTCCACAACACTGTAAAAAATAATGTTTTTAAGTGCATTGATTGATTGGTCAGCGTTATCATCACCTAAAATAATAAAACATGAATTTTTGCTTCTTCTACTACATTGTGAAAACAATGTGTAAACAGCAAAAGAA